ATCGCAGCCGTGCACAGCTTGGAGCAACTCGTCCAATCAGCAACGCGTTGCTCTCACTTGCTGACATCAGCGCTCTCCACCACCCTGTCCTTGCCACGTCATGCCGAACCCCTGCCTCCCTCCATACTCAGCTGTCTGCTTCAGGTGATTTTTCAGCATTGTTTCAGGTTATGGCTGACCCTTTGTCTCAAGTAGGTATTTATCTTTATATTTCAAATGATATCATCTCCTGCCACTTGTCAAATCTTTGTTTGCGATCGGGCCTTCAGTCACTCACTCTCAACCCCCCAATCCGCATCCCATCTGCAGGTGGCCTCCTGTCTTCCACTCGACATGCCACTTGCCTCTCCGCCATCGCTCTCCTCCACTGCCCCTGCTGCCACACCAGCGGCACCAGATTCAATAGCAGCGCAGGCAGCAGAGCCTCTTGCCTCGTGGCTGCTGCACGTGAATGCAGTTCTCTCACCGCCCACACGCCAGCAGCAGCAGCAGCATCTGGTGCAAGGGGATCACACGAAGCATGTCACCGGCACTGCAGCTGCTGCCGCGGCAGCGACTGTGGGAGTGGTGGCTGGAGGGCAACAGGAGGTGCAGCAGTCGGCAGGGCAGAGCGCCAAGGATGGTGGAGGAGGGCCAACAGTGCCGACAGGGCCAGCGGCAGCGGCGGTGTCGGAGGCAGGGACAGGCTGCTCTGTTGAGGCGGGCGGCACGCTGGCGGTGATGCAGAGGGCAGTGGCCGCCCACTGCTGGAGGGCTGCCACGTGTAGCGCTCTCATTGGCCGCCCACGGCCCCGACCTTCCACCCTGGCACAGCTGGTGCAGACGGTGAGATAGTGGCTTATACAAACAGAATTGCACTTACGGCGATACTGTGTAACGAGCAGATCTTAGTGTCTCCAACCCCACTTCTCTTGTCTTTCCGTTGCTCTCTTCGCTCCATTATACTCTCTGTGTGCATGCCAAGAGTCTTTTTCTGTCCCACCTTCTTCCATCTCTCAATCCTCGTCCTTCACCCCTCCCCTCCCCTGTCTGTCCTCCAGGGCTCGCACACAGTAGGCACAACTGATGCCGTTCTCGGGGAAGCCAAACAGCGACACGAGGCAGCTTCTGAGTGGCTGTCTTGCTTCAGCAAGGCACTCTCATCTCAGTCACAGCTGTCAGAGCGCCAGGCCGCCCAGCGTCTGTCACATCTGCGCGCGCTCATCAGCCACGCCTCTGCCCTGCCTGTGGACCTGCGCCCAGAGATCAAGGTGAGCAGCGAACCTGCTGCTGTCGTCATGGAGAATGCTGATCAAGTGCTGCTGACTATTCACCTCTTGCTGCATTCACCTTATCTCCCTTCCCTGTCCCTCCTCTCCCTGCCACCCCGCGCCACTATCAGACCCTGCGCCGCGCTGTGGCCCGCCTGGCATCGCGCCTCAAGGCTGATACCGCTGCAACTACTCCTCCTGCCACTCAATCGCCTCCTCCCACCGCACCACCCACTGCATCGCTGCTCACCGCACCCTCTCCCGCACGCACAGCGACGCCTCTGGCTGTAGCAAAAACTGTAGCGCCGTCAGGCAAAGCAGCTGCGACAGCACGTGGGGGAATCGGCACCGCAGGTGCTGCCTCGGAACTGAAGGCGTCCGGGCTGAAAGGCTCTCGCAGTGCCAAGCGGAAGCTGGCAGCAGGCGGGGAAGGCAAGGCAGTGCGTGTGGGTAAGGGGAGAGCAGGAGCAGTGGCTGTTGGGGGTGCAGCAGAAGCGAGTGTGAGTGTTGCTCCCAGGGCTGCATGCAGTGTGGCGACCAGTGGTACTGCCTCCGCTGCCACCGCTGTCGCTGCTGCTACCGCTGCCACAGTTGCCTCAGCTGGCGCTGGTGCCACGGCCGCAGCCACCAAGGGCAAGAGGAGCCCTCGCGCCCTGCACGCAGCGGCCCTGCAAGGAGGCAGCTGCATGGCCGTGCCTGCTTGTGCTACAACCTGCCCCCGTGGCCCGACTGTAACATACGAGCCTGCCCCCGCCTCCTGCATCGCCTCACCGCTTCTGCCTGCCTGCTCCTCCCTTCCTCAACCCACCGATCCATCCCGCATGGCCTCTCGCCCTCTCTCCCCTTCACTCCCTGCCCCCCCGGCCACCTCCCCTGCTGCTGCTCCTCTGCCTGCACCGCTGGCATCGCCAGATGCCTGCCCGCCTGCCCCAGGGGGTGAGGCAGGGGCAGGCGTGAGAGTGAGTGGGAAGAGGAGCAGGTCCGTGAGGAAGAGGAGGAGAGAGGTAGGGGAGGGGAGTGGTGGGGGAGGCGGTGAGGTGAGGGCGGGAGACAGCAGCGATGGCGATGGCGATGGGGATGGGGATGGGGATGGGGATGGGTGTGCTGGCAGTGCGGGAAGTGCTGGTGGGGTGCAGCGCAGCAAGGCAGCAGCAGAAGAACAAGCTGCTGTGCTGCTATCAGCTGAGTTAGCCGCCGTCGCTGCAGCAGCAGCAAGCACAGCAGGAAGCAATGGAGTAACCGCAACAGGATCCACACGAACAACCACAGCAAGCATACGAGCAACAGCAAGAGCGCCTCAAGATGATACACTCGCGAGCCGTGGAGACACATCACAGGTATCCTGCCCTGCCACCAAAGCTACCACCACAGCTATTACCACAGCTGCCACCACAGCTGCCGCCACAGCTGCCACCACAGCTACCACCACAGCTGCCACCACAGCTGCCACCACAACTGCCACCACAGCTGCCACCACAGCTGCCACCACAGCTGCCACCACAGCTGCCACCACAGCTGCCACCACTGCTGCCACCACAGCTGCCGCCACAGCTACCACCGCAGCTGCCACCACAGGTGCCACCACAAGTGCCACCGCCGGTACCACTGCAGACCGCATCTCCAAACTCTCAACATTGCCCCTCAAGCAGCCCGCTCTCTCCTTCCCGGTCCTCAAGAAGCGGCGCAGCGACCGACCCAAGGCAGGTGCTGTCAGCACGGCCGAGCCACCTTGAGCTCTTGCTGCCACACACCCTCCTGCTCCTCCCAATGCACCTGCTCACTTGCGCTGTTGGCTCCACTGCTGCAGCAGCTGCTGCTGGCACAGCAGCTGGCACTGCTGCCTGCTCTGTTGGTACCACTGTCCCCTCTACTGGTATGACTGCCAGCTCAACCGCCAAGGTTGCCAGCTCAGCAGCCAAGGTTGCTAGCTCAGCAGAAAAGGCTTGCTGCCTAGAAGGGAAGGGCGGTGAGGGTCAGAGGAGGAAAGGCAGGGGAGATAGCCAAGATAAGAGAAGTGGAGACAGGGTGCGGGCGATTGAGAGTGGCATGCCAGGCACACGCACAGCAGGCCAGGGGAAGATGAGCCCTCGGCCACATGAAAGCGCAACAGCAGGCCAGGGGAAGATGAGCCCTCGGCCACATGAAAGCGCAACAGCAGGCCAGGGGAAGATGAGCCCTCGGCCACATGAAAGCGCAACAGCAGGCCAGGGGAAGATGAGCCCTCGGCCACATGAAAGCGCAACAGCAGGCCAGGGGAAGATGAGCCCTCGGCCACATGAAAGCGCAACAGCAGGCCAGGGGAAGATGAGCCCTCGGCCACATGAAAGCGCAACAGCAGGCCAGGGGAAGATGAGCCCTCGGCCACATGAAAGCGCAACAGCAGGCCAGGGGAAGATGAGCCCTCGGCCACATGAAAGCGCAACAGCAGGCCAGGGGAAGATGAGCCCTCGGCCACATGAAAGCGCAACAGCAGGCCAGGGGGAAGATGAGCCCTCGGCCACATGAAAGCGCAACAGCAGGCCAGGGGAAGATGAGCCCTCGGCCACATGAAAGCGCAACAGCAGCGGCAGCAGAGGGTGTGACAGTTGGCAGTGCGTGGCAGCATGGCAGAGCGAGTGAGAGTGAGAGTTTGGGGCGAGAGGGTGCAGCAGGTGGTGCAGAAGGTGGGAGCAGGGGAGGCGGGGTGGTGGAGGGAGGGGCGGGTGGAGGAAGGCGGTCGGTGCGCAGCACAGCAGGCCGGCACCCTGGCTTCGATGGCTTCCTGCTGCTGCCCCGCATCCGATGATCCCAAGATGACGGCATGTTTGGCATGGAGTGCGTGGCGAGGCGCAGCGTGGCGTGCACACAGCGGTGCCAGAGTAGCATTCACAAGCAGATGTGTGATTGATGGTATGGCTACTGCAGGCCGTGCACATGCAGACTGACTAACCTTGTTACGGCGAGGCTGGAAGCACAGGATGGCTGAGCAGGCAGTGAAAGAAGGCTTCAAGCCACGCATGTGCAACGGAGGAGAGGGAGGCGGTGGTAGTGTCCTTGGCTGCTCGAAGGGGAAGTAATGTTGCTGGTGGAAGGGCTGCAGAAAGGGTTAAACTTAAACAGGTGCGATTGGTTGATGGTATAGGTGAGAGAGGCCAGCAACAGGAGGTGTGGGGATGGTGGATGTTGCTCATCTGCCTCTCTTGATGTAGGTGGTGGCACGCTCCAAGGTCATATTTTCTGACTGTTTGATTTGACACTAACCCACTAATTTCTCCATGCACATAGTGAGTCATGACAGTACAAACCCTGGGGCTGCTTGTTCAGGCGGTGTGTGTGTGTGTGTGCGCTTACTATAAGTGACTATATTTACTAATGAATCATGAATAGGTTTGCTGTACCGTATGGCCCCGCCCCGGATATAAGCGCTGGCCTATGTTAGGCGCATGCCATTCTATCTCAAGAACTGCGCTTATGGCCGGAATTCAATAATAAGCGCACACTTGGGAACCCTTATTGATTACAGACTTCAATTTCTTGTCACCTATTTGACGTTGCAATTTAGCACACTCTTCTTTGACTAATCCTATTGAGGAGATAGCTGGAGTGTAAGCGCTAGACATTTGTTATCATTATTGACGTCTCCGCAACTCACGGGCCTACATTTGTACCACTCCTGCAATGATTGCGAGACTTTCTGCCCACCGCGTTTCTCGCCGCGCCTCATGTCTGGCACCAGCTTGCTTCGCGCTGGTAACCAAATATCGGTCACTTTCGCGCCTCCTGAAGTGCTAAGGACGTGTAACAAATGTCACACCGACCCTGTGAGCGATGTACAGGGTGTGCAGTAACTTCGTCAATTCGGGAATAGTTTCGTTTCTTTTTTCCGTCTAGTGTCTCCAGTCTCCTCGCCACGATCGATATCCCTCCGATTGCCGAGGTCAGATGGCGTCAAATGACGCATCGACCATGCGATTGGAGACGCAGCCCGCAGATGCCGCGCCACCTGTGATGGGCACGATCGATCGCCGTCGATTGTGACAATTGTGACGCGTCCTAGAATGAAGTTGGGCTGTGAATTCAACACTTAGGGCTAGCCCATGGCGTGAGTGACAAGGAACGACGGCAAACTTCCAGACACGCTCAGTGCCTATCACCAAGTAACGCGCTTCGACCAATCATCCCGTTTCCAGCGGCAGATTTCGCGTCGCGCCAATAGCCTCTAGCAACGAATAATCGCATCGACCGCACCCAACCAATAGTAAACCAGCCCCAGCTCGCGGCACTATTTAGCTCCGCACAATTCATTTGCGAGGCCACTCCATCTGCTTCCTTCGAATCCAATCCGGTGGTTGCTTACAATGGCCGTGCTTCGCGTTTTCTTACTGGTGCTCTCTGTGCTCATTGCCGCCGCGCATGTGGTCTCCGCTACAGCGCCGATATTCGAATCTGATCCTGCGCGGGATGTTGGCATCTTGGCGGCGGACGACCTGTCCTCCCCAGTGGCAGTCAAAGATGCGTCCATCTTACCACTGATGCAGGAGATCCGACGGATGCTCAAGGGGAAGGCGGTCAAGGTGAAGATCGGGCCGAGTGAAATGAAAGCCATCGCTGAGGTTGGAAAGGAGCTTTCGAAGTATTCTAAGAAGGAATGGGATAGGGTGGTGAAAGACAAAAAGAAGCAAGCGGAAAAGCTGGAGAAAGGGTGGGAGGATACCAAGAAGGCAGCGAATGAGGTGAAGCAGGGGTTTGAGAATGGGGAAGGTGCCAGGAAGGCAGCGGACGACGTGAAGCAAGGGTTCGAGAAGGCCACAAACTTCTTTGGAAATCTCGGACGCAAGTAGAGCAGGGCAGTGGTTGATAACCAAGGAAGGTATTGTTGCTGTTTGCATGTGCTCGGGGTGCTGTTTGGCGTTGGGTGGTTGACTTGTATGGGAACAATGTGTGCTTAGAAAGGGGGAAGGGTGGTAGTTCTTTCACGACTGAAAATAATTGGACTATATGGGCATTATGGAGCTCGGCTGCTTGAGAATCAAATCGCTTGGATCATAGCATAATAATCCAAGTTGGAATTATTCCGCCTTTATTTCACCTGCTTTACCAAGTTGTGATAGGATCAGTTACCTACTTCAACTATATTCTTACCCCGTACTGCTGCTGAGTTGCCCCCGTACCTTTCTAGACCAGGCATTTTCATCAGGCAGTTCTCTCCTATATCGATTCCATCCTACTTAGCCTCGTAGTTCAGAAGACCATGAGATTTATTGGAGTGTTTGGTGGGGCAGGGAAAGGAGTGAGGCCATGTGGGACAAGTCAGGGAGGGGTTAGGCAAGGTAAACAGTCCTTTGAGTGAGGTAGGGAAGAGAGTGGAAAGAGTAAGGCAAGCTACAAGGTACTTTGGGTGAGGCAGGGAGGGGAGCTGAAGGGTTAGAAAAAGGTGACTCGTGGTTTGAGTGGGGCAGGGGAGAGGGGAATGAATGATGGGTGATGCAATGTGAGGAACGTTCTTCTTGAGACGCAACGTGAGGAATATTTTCTGTGATATTTGGTTTCACCGTCAGGCACATTGCGTAGGTGCCAGGTAGAATACATGTTGTCTGTTTCGCCAGGTGCGCACCGTCGACCACGTGCTGCCATTCCGCAGGTCAAACTTCGCCAATACCTTCTCGGCGAAGTTTCGCACACCTCCTCAGAGTTTCGCACACCTCTGCAAGTTTGGTCGATCTTTTGGACACCGCTCGGTTGAACAGCGTTCGCCGAGCAGCGCTCATCGACCCGAACTCTTCGACCAGATTTCTTCGACCAGGATCGTCGACCAGCGCTCTTTGACGGGAGCTCTTCGCGCAGAGATCGTCGACCAGACGCAGAGCTCGTTGACCGGATTCTGTCGAGCACAGCCTGCTCGACCGCAACTTCCGTCGAACTGCAGAAGCCCATTTTGTCGACCAATCCGTCGCGAACTTCTCGTCGACAATGAGATCGGCTGCGCCCAAGCGAGGGCGGGGCCTTTCTCCCACAGACTATAGCATATAAGTTTGACAACATGCGTCGTTGTTTAGTCACGGTTCACATTTAAGCCAGTCTCATGAGTGTCCTCAGTTCGATGTGATTCTTGCGTTCACAGGCTGCTTCATATGGTTACACTAGGTTTTAGTATCTTGCCTGGCCGAAACACATATCATGTATAGTCTGGCCCCAGATAGTAGCGCATATGCGCTTATAATACACTCATTTTTTTAAGGGGGGTCTTGTAATTGAGTAACGGCCATAAGCGCCGGTGCTTATATAAAAAGAAATACAATTTAAACACACCAAAATCTATTTCAGTCTCGTAAATTCTAACGAATCGAAATCCTACAGGTTCCTGAATCAGAATCGCGCGAGGGCATTCTCTGACTGTGCACAGAGCTTTGGCACGTCACTTCACAGGCGTGACGGCTCATTCTGACTGGACGCGTGTCAAATGTTATATCTGCTACAGTTGGTTTAGGCTGTAGTGGGGTAGTTACTATGGGGTACAGTAAGTTTAGGGTTTCCTACTTGTACCCACCTCTTTCCTAGTGCAAACAATCTTGTTCATTCTGACATGGTATTACGAGCCTAGGTTAGGAACCTAGGACCGCTTAGTCCTAAGGGCCCACCGTTCTGCTAGAAGCGCCCTCGAGCGCCCTACCACTTTCGCGCCCTCGCGCGCCTCTCTCTCTCACGCTGCCCGTACGCAGCTCGCTAGCCGCCCGCGCGCGGCCCGTTTTTAGCGCGTGCAGCCCGCTAGCCGCCCGCGCGCGGCCCGTTTCTAGCGTGCGTAGGCCGTTAACCGCCCACGCACGACCAGCACCGCCCGCGCGCAGCCTGCGCCATCCTCGTGCGGCCCCGCGCGCAGCCCGCGCGTCGCAGCTGCTTGCGCACCGGCCGCTGCAGCCAGCGCATAGCTCGCTGCCCGCGCGCGACTGCAGCCCACGCGCAGCCGCGGCCCGTACGCAACAGCAGCCCACGCGCAGGCCCACCGTAGCGCCGCCCTGCCCGTCCGAGCCGCGCCGCATAGCCCTGTCCGAGCCGCGCCGCGCCGCCCTGCCCGAGCCGCGCCGAGCCGCCCTGCCCGAACCGTGCCGCGCCGCCCTGTCCGAGCCGCGCTGCCCTACTGCTACTGCTGTTCCGCCCGCTCCTACTGCTTCTGTTCCTACTGCTACTGCTGCTACTGCTACTGCTGCTACTGCTACTGCTGCCACTATGGCTAGTCCCACCGTCCTCTCTTTCGATGCTGAGGGCCGTCCGATTCAGATTGATGCTTGGCTCGACGACCTCCACCTGTTCCTACAGATCACTGCCAAGGACGATGTCTCACTGTATGATCACGCGTCCGGAACCGCTCTAGCACTTGTAGAGACTGCTGACAGTACAGCTCGCTCCCAGTGGCAGACTCGTGACGCTCACGCTCGCCTAGCCATTTGCAGTCACCGGCCGTTAGACTAGCGCGCGCATTTTGGCCAGCACAAGACTGCTAAGGCACTGTACGATGCAGTAGTCGCGCGCTACTCCTCGCCTGCCTCTGCTACGATCGGCCGTCTCTCGCTGCCCTATCTCTTCCCCGATTTGGCCGCCTTTCCCACAGTCGCTGACGTCATTACACACCTCCGCACTAGTGACACTCGCTACCGAGCCGCCCTTCCTGCTGAGTTCCTCGCCAAGAATCCGCCCCCGATGTACCTCGTTCTCTACCACCTAGTCACCCGTCTCCCTGACTCTCTTCGCGCAGTCAGGGACCAATTTCTCGCCCTCTGCCCCACCGAGCTCACCGTTGACCTGCTCGAGAAGCATCTGCTTGCAGCTGAGGCTAGCATAGTTGCTGTAGGTGCCTCTTGTGGCGACCCCCGCACGCCCTTCTTTGACGGGTGTTCCCCTCCCCCCCTTCTCCCCTCGGTCGCCTCTGCTGCCGCTGTCGACTACCTTGGTGCTGAGGAAGTCGGGCGGGCGGCACGCTGGCGGTGATGCAGAGGGCAGTGGCCGCCCACTGCTGGAGGGCTGCCACGTGTAGCGCTCTCATTGGCCGCCCACGGCCCCGACCTTCCACCCTGGCACAGCTGGTGCAGACGGTGAGATAGTGGCTTATACAAACAGAATTGCACTTACGGCGATACTGTGTAACGAGCAGATCTTAGTGTCTCCAACCCCACTTCTCTTGTCTTTCCGTTGCTCTCTTCGCTCCATTATACTCTCTGTGTGCATGCCAAGAGTCTTTTTCTGTCCCACCTTCTTCCATCTCTCAATCCTCCTCCTTCACCCCTCCCCTCCCTTGTCTGTCCTCCAGGGCTCGCACACAGTAGGCACAACTGATGCCGTTCTGAGTGGCTGTCTTGCTTCAGCAAGGCACTCTCATCTCAGTCACAGCTGTCAGAGCGCCAGGCCGCCCAGCGTCTGTCACATCTGCGCGCGCTCATCAGCCACGCCTCTGCCCTGCCTGTGGACCTGCGCCCAGAGATCAAGGTGAGCAGCGAACCTGCTGTTGTCGTCATGGAGAATGATGATCAAGTGCTGCTGACTATTCACCTCTTGCTGCATTCACCTTATCTCCCTTCCCTGTCCCTCCTCTCCCTGCCACCCCGCGCCACTATCAGACCCTGCGCCGCGCTGTGGCCCGCCTGGCATCGCGCCTCAAGGCTGATACCGCTGCAACTACTCCTCCTGCCACTCAATCGCCTCCTCCCACCGCACCACCCACTGCATCGCTGCTCACCGCACCCTCTCCCGCACGCACAGCGACGCCTCTGGCTGTAGCAAAAACTGTAGCGCCGTCAGGCAAAGCAGTTGCGACAGCACGTGGGGGAATCGGCACCGCAGGTGCTGCCTCGGAACTGAAGGCGTCCGGGCTGAAAGGCTCTCGCAGTGCCAAGCGGAAGCTGGCAGCAGGCGGGGAAGGCAAGGCAGTGCGTGTGGGTAAGGGGAGAGCAGGAGCAGTGGCTGTTGGGGGTGCAGCAGAAGCGAGTGTGAGTGTTGCTCCCAGGGCTGCATGCAGTGTGGCGACCAGTGGTACTGCCTCCGCTGCCACCGCTGTCGCTACCGCTGCCACAGTTGCCTCAGCTGGCGCTGGTGCCACGGCCGCAGCCACCAAGGGCAAGAGGAGCCCTCGCCCCCTGCACGCAGCGGCCCTGCAAGGAGGCAGCTGCATGGCCGTGCCTGCTTGTGCTACAACCTGCCCCCGTGGCCCGACTGTAACATACGAGCCTGCCCCCGCCTCCTGCATCACCTCACCGCTTCTGCCTGCCTGCTCCTCCCTTCCTCAACCCACCGATCCATCCCACATGGCCTCTCGCCCTCTCTCCCCTTCACTCCCTGCCCCCCCGGCCACCTCCCCTGCTGCTGCTCCTCTGCCTGCACCGCTGGCATCGCCAGCTGCCTGCCCGCCTACCCCAGGGGGTGAGGCAGGGGCAGGCGTGAGAGTGAGTGGGAAGAGGAGCAGGTCCGTGAGGAAGAGGAGGAGAGAGGGAGGGGAGGGGAGTGGTGGGGGAGGCGGTGAGGTGAGGGCGGGAGACAGCAGCGATGGCGATGGCGATGGGGATGGGTGTGCTGGCAGTGCGGGAAGTGCTGGTGGGGTGCAGCGCAGCAAGGCAGCAGCAGAAGAACAAGCTGCTGTGCTGCTATCAGCTGAGTTAGCCGCCGTCGCTACAGCAGCAGCACGCACAGCAGGAAGCAATGGAGTAACCGCAACAGGATCCACACGAACAACCACAGCAAGCATACGAGCAACAGCAAGAGCGCCTCAAGATGATACACTCGCGAGCCGTGGAGACACATCACAGGTATCCTGCCCTGCCACCAAAGCTACCACCACAGCTATTACCACAGCTGCCACCACAGCTGCCGCCACAGCTGCCACCACAGCTACCACCACAGCTGCCACCACAGCTGCCACCACAACTGCCACCACAGCTGCCACCACAGCTGCCACCACAGCTGCCACCACAGCTGCCACCACAGCTGCCACCACTGCTGCCACCACAGCTGCCGCCACAGCTACCACCGCAGCTGCCACCACAGGTGCCACCACAAGTGCCACCGCCGGTACCACTGCAGACCGCATCTCCAAACTCTCAACATTGCCCCTCAAGCAGCCCGCTCTCTCCTTCCCGGTCCTCAAGAAGCGGCGCAGCGACCGACCCAAGGCAGGTGCTGTCAGCACGGCCGAGCCACCTTGAGCTCTTGCTGCCACACACCCTCCTGCTCCTCCCAACGCACCTGCTCACTGCGCTGTTGGCTCCACTGCTGCAGCAGCTGCTGCTGGCACAGCAGCTGGCACTGCTGCCTGCTCTGTTGGTACCACTGTCCCCTCTACTGGTATGACTGCCAGCTCAACCGCCAAGGTTGCCAGCTCAGCAGCCAAGGTTGCTAGCTCAGCAGAAAAGGCTTGCTGCCTAGAAGGGAAGGGCGGTGAGGGTCAGAGGAGGAAAGGCAGGGGAGATAGCCAAGATAAGAGAAGTGGAGACAGGGTGCGGGCGATTGAGAGTGGCATGCCAGGCACACGCACAGCAGGCCAGGGGAAGATGAGCCCTCGGCCACATGAAAGCGCAACAGCAGGCCAGGGGAAGATGAGCCCTCGGCCACATGAAAGCGCAACAGCAGGCCAGGGGAAGATGAGCCCTCGGCCACATGAAAGCGCAACAGCAGGCCAGGGGAAGATGAGCCCTCGGCCACATGAAAGCGCAACAGCAGGCCAGGGGAAGATGAGCCCTCGGCCACATGAAAGCGCAACAGCAGGCCAGGGGAAGATGAGCCCTCGGCCACATGAAAGCGCAACAGCAGGCCAGGGGAAGATGAGCCCTCGGCCACATGAAAGCGCAACAGCAGGCCAGGGGAAGATGAGCCCTCGGCCACATGAAAGCGCAACAGCAGGCCAGGGGAAGATGAGCCCTCGGCCACATGAAAGCGCAACAGCAGGCCAGGGGAAGATGAGCCCTCGGCCACATGAAAGCGCAACAGCAGGCCAGGGGAAGATGAGCCCTCGGCCACATGAAAGCGCAACAGCAGGCCAGGGGAAGATGAGCCCTCGGCCACATGAAAGCGCAACAGCAGCGGCAGCAGAGGGTGTGACAGTTGGCAGTGTGTGGCAGCATGGCAGAGCGAGTGAGAGTGAGAGTTTGGGGCGAGAGGGTGCAGCAGGTGGTGCAGAAGGTGGGAGCAGGGGAGGCGGGGTGGTGGAGGGAGGGGCGGGTAGAGGAAGGCGGTCGGTGCGCAGCACAGCAGGCCGGCACCCTGGCTTCGATGGCTTCCTGCTGCTGCCCCGCATCCGATGATCCCAAGATGACGGCATGTTTGGCATGGAGTGCGTGGCGAGGCGCAGCGTGGCGTGCACACAGCGGTGCCAGAGTAGCATTCACAAGCAGATGTGTGATTGATGGTATGGCTACTACAGGCCGTGCACATGCAGACTGACTAACCTTGTTACGGCGAGGCTGGAAGCACAGGATGGCTGAGCAGGCAGTGAAAGAAGGCTTCAAGCCACGCATGTGCAACGGAGGAGAGGGAGGCGGTGGTAGTGTCCTTGGCTGCTCGAAGGGAAAGTAATGTTGCTGGTGGAAGGGCTGCAGAAAGGTTTAAACTTAAACAGGTGCGATTGGTTGATGGTATAGGTGAGAGAGGCCAGCAACAGGAGGTGTGGGGATGGTGGATGTTGCTCATCTGCCTCTCTTGATGTAGGTGGTGGCACGCTCCAAGGTCATATTTTCTGACTGTTTGATTTTGCTAAAATCAGAAAGTGATTGTAACCAGGATCACCTCAGGATGGTTCGCACGCAGAGAAGTGATGTTGGTGGGCCCTTGAACTCAATAGCAGAGTGAATGTAAAATGCTTTGAGATAATAAACACGTGCAGTACAAGGAATATAAATATGAGTACAGGGGAATTCGAAACGACCTAACTAGCCATGTACTCTAAGGGGTACATTCCCTTATTGCATCGAAATCCAACCGTGCGACTCCGAGTGGTTACGTAACTGTTCGGGCAGAAGCCACTGCTGCTGCCCAGGCCCTACGATATCAGGAATTTTCCCCTGAAATTCCTGATTTTCAGCCTAGTTTTGTGTACCTACACTGAATTTTCAGTGTTGAGATTTTTGTGACACTGATTTTTTCAGCCTTTACTTCATAGCTAACACTGATGTTTCAGACTTTTATCGAAGTGTACACTGAATGCACATTCCGAATCCTTCCCGTAAAACACCCGAGACAATAAGACAACCAACATTTCCGCATCATAAAATCTTATGTAAAAAATACCGATCGTCGACTCCATGAACTGGCTTAGTGGTTAGCGAAGTAGATACCGATTGATAAGGTTTCCGGTTCGAATCCCTCTACCACCATGTTCTTAAAGCGACGGGCAACTTTTGGCAGTGTTGGGTTCAGAAGTTTTTTTTTTTAACCAGGCTTGCCAGCGCGAAAGTGCTGGCTGGCGAAAACCAGGATTTCGTGCGGACACTTTCCATCCGCAGTAACAGTTCGCCAGGGTTCTGGGTTTTGGGTGGCAAATGTGCACCGTCGCTTTAAAGGCTACTCTCTTGCACAATTGCATGATGTAATTGAAAATTCAGGCTCTTGTTTTCCGGAACCCTGAAAATTCAGGCTTTTTTTTTTAGGAACCCTGAAAATTCAGGCTTTTTTTCACAGGGACCCTGATGCATCAACGTCCCTAAAAGTGAATCTGAGGGCCTGCTGCTGCCTGATGCTGTCTGCCCGACGGTCCAGATGCTCCTCGTAACCGTCTGTCCCTTCGACTTTCTTCTGGCTTTTCGTCTTCACTCTCGATAGTGCGTGCTTCGGCTTTACTACGGTGAGGAGTGCGCAACAGTGTTTTTCATTAACTACTATTCGTAACACCCCCCTTCACTCCTGGCCGTAGCGAGCATTGACCCGCTTGACTACCCCGCTGAGTTCGGAGCAGTGCTGGTACTGCTGACGCGGCAGTCTCTTCGTGAGGAAGTCTGCTGCCATGTCACCCGTTGGGCAGTATGTCAGGTCAACTTTGCCTTTGTCAACTTCGTCCTTGACGAAGAAGTACCGCAGTGCGATGTGCTTGGTGCGGTTGACGAAACCAGGTTTGTTCGCGATCCTGATCGCGCTCTGATTGTCGCAGTGCAGGCGAAAGTTCGTTGAGGCCGGAATTTTTGCTTCCTGCAGCAGTTCCTGAAGGTAGAGACCTTCGCGAACAGCTGCTGTTGCTGCGATAAATTCAGCTTCCGCCGATGACAGGGCAACCAACTCTTGCTTCTGAGAGTTCCAGGAGATGGGGCCGCTGGGCTCGAGGCGGAAGTGGAACCCTGTCCTGGACCGTCGATTGTCAGGGTCAGCGGCGTGATCGGCATCCACGTAGCCGACGAGGCTGAAGGATGTGGTTGGGATGGTGGAATAACTGAGCCCGACATTGGGCGTGGAGATGAAGAATTGAAGGGCTCGCTGAAGATCTGAGAGATTCTCAGCCGTTGGTTTGCGTGAGTACTGAGCCAACTAGCTCGCAATGTAGGAGAGGTCGGGCCTGCAGGTAACAGATGCGAAAAGCAGGCATCCCAACTGCTGCTGGTAAGTGTGAAGCCCAGCAGGGGACAGGGCTTTGTTGTCAGGCTTGTGGTTGGGTCCTGGAGTGCGGTAAGGGGTGGAGAGTGGTGCAGGCGCAATGTTGAAGCGCTTGCTAAGCTCCTCCGCATACTTCGCTGCTGAGAGATGAATGGCTTCCGGCGAGTAGGTGATGTTGAGTCCGAGAAACTGCTTCACGTCATGATTGCAGGTGATGTCGACGCGCCCTGCGAGGCTTCTCTCAAATTGCTCGAGCAGTTCGTTGCTTGAGCCTGTGTAGAGAAGGTCGTCGACGTAGACCGTGAGGAGGATGTATTCGCCGTGGAAATCGCGGCGATACATTCCAGGATCGTGAGGCAGCTGCTTGAACCCGATTTCAAGCAGTATGTTGTGCAGGTACTACTGCCAGAGTCTCGGTGCCTGTTTGATCCCATAGAGGGACTTGCGTAGCTGACAGACGCGTGGGTCTCCGCCGCCGTAAGTGTGTGGCTGTTCCACGTAGATCACGGCGTCCACTAATGCGTACAGGAACGCATTCTTCACATCGATCTGCCGGAGTGGTAGGTGTCGTGCGGCTGCGATGGCGAGGAGAATTCTGACGGGCGTGTGACGGCTGACCGGTGCGAATGTCTGGTCAAAATCAATCCCGTGCCTTTGATCGTAGCCACGCACCACCCAGCGTGCCTTGAATCGCCCAATCCTTCCGTCGGCTCCTGTCTTCACTCGGAAGACCCATTTGCCGGAGAGAATCCTTCTCCCCTTTATTGCTGCACGGTCGACGAGCACCCAGGTGTCGCGCGACTCGAGTGCCCGGATTTCCGCATCCATTGCTTCGCGCCACTCCTTGCTGTGTGTGCCTGTGAGAGCTTGCCGTGGGTTCTTAGGTTCGATGATGCGCGGAGCAGTGGAGATGGCAGCGTGTAGTCCGAGTAGCTGGAGACCGGTGACAGTGCTGTCGTGGCGATGTTGAGTGACGACTTCCTGCACGTCGTCATCATCGCTTTCTGGTTCAGGCGGTGCTGGCGGTGCTGTGTCTCCGCCGCTTCTGCTTCCTCCTGCTGCGCCTCCTCCTGTTGCGCCTGTTCCTCCTTCACCTGAATCATCGTCATCGTCGTCGTCGTCGTCGCGGCGATCGCCCCTTGTGAACTCGCCTCTGGGATCCTGCTCCAGAATTGCTGCTGCTACTTCGTCCTCAGGTGAGGCGTAGCTGTGGCCCTCGTTGGCGTAGACGCGGTTTGCATTCGTCTGCTCGTCGTCACGAAATTTTTGCAGAAACAGTCGCTCGTAGAAGATGACATCGCGCGCATTCTTGATTTTCTGGCTTAGGAGATCCAGGATGATCCACGCCTTGTGTTCGTGGCTGATACCGAGATGGATTCCCCAGCGCGCGCGGCTTTTGAACTTCCCGATGGTTGATGTTGGCGGTCGGTATTGAACCATGCAGCCCCAGACGCGGAGCATGGAGGTGTCCCCCTTTCTTCCCGTCCATTTCACGTGCGGCGATTAATTGCCAGTGATTGCGGTGGTTGACAGCAGGTTGTGCACCCGCACGGCATGGTGCATCGCGTAGGTCCAGTAGATCGGCGGGAGCTTTGCCTGCCGCATTAGCGCCCGTACCTTCGTCATGAGGGTGCGATTCGTGCGCTCCGCTACGCCCTGCTGCTGGTGCGCGTAGGGGAGGGAGATGTGATGCTCGATCCCCTTTTGCGCGAGGTAATCCTGCAGTTCCTTGCTCCTGAACTCCGCCGCACCATCGGACTGCCAAATCTTCAATTTCTCCCCAGATTGCCGCTGCGCGTGCGCCAGCCACAGACGGAATGCTTCGTAGGCTCTGCTACGCGCTTCCACGTTTACGACCCACACGTGGCGCGTTCCGGCGTCGACGAAGGTGAGTGTGTAGAGTTCGTCGTTGATGCCGCAGTGTCCTACGTTGAGAAAGTCACTGTAAACCTTCTCAAGCTTGGCGTAGCGATTGGTTCCTGGCTCGAGTAGGGGGAAGGGCTGGTGAATCAGCGCAGCTTCGGGGCAGACAGTGCAGCTGCGCGGGTGAGTCCCTCCTCTCACTTCGGAGTCGTCAGGGCGCAACAGCGCGCCAGGTGCAAAGACGTCGGCTTCGATGCAATTCTTCAGGGTCACGCGCGAAGGGTGACATAGGCGCTGATGCCAGATGGCGTCGTCGGCGCGGAATCCAGATGTGCGCATGTAGCGCTCCAGTGCGGCTGCGGGGTCTTCGTCAGGTGCCGGTGCAGGTGTAGGCGCTGTTCCCCCGTTCTCTTCTTCTTCCTCGTTCGCCGTTGTTAGCATGAGGGCGAGAAATTCTCTGTCGCGGATGATGGAGTAGGGGATGTTGGTTCCGGGGATCGTGCCAAGTACGAACGCCGGTTCGCATGGTTCAGGGGCAGGTCCGTAGACAGTGCGTCACGGGGTGAGTGGTTCACTTCCCCAGTCAATGGTGTCCCAGGGGTCACTACCTGAAGGGATGTCAGGCGGCGGTGGTCCTAACGCAGGGCGGCGCGGAGGTCGTCCGAGAGGAACAACGAGAGGTTCGACGTCGGCATACGCAGGTTCTTCTTCCTCTTCCCCCCTTTGATCCTCGCGGAAAGCTCCCCAGCCGCTCGTCTCGCCGCCTTGTGCGGCGCCCCATCCGCCGATGTATGCGCCTGTTGCTGCGCCCCATCCGCCGGTTGCGACGCCCCAGCCGCTGGTGTCGCTCGTTCCCCATCCGCCGGCGCTCCCCCACCC